GGGGGGGGGGGGGGGGGGGGGAGAGAAGAGATGCTGTGTGCAACCCTTAGAATTAACTGATGAGCCCAGACTTAACAGCAGGTGCTTGTGGGGAGCTGGCTTTTAAGCTGCCTCCCGGCCCCTCCCCTGCTGCCTTTAATGCCATGAATTTGGGTGGGCTGAATACATAATCAACTGAGTCTTTTGTCAGAACAATCTTTCCTGCACAGAACTGTGCACATGCCAAATCAATGAAGGCTGTGGTAATCCACACATTTTTGACAGAGTTCACAATGATGAACAAGATGATAGTCATGTTGACTAAAAACATCAGCACTATTACATTTCAATGATACCTGTACACATTATTAGATGTTTGTTTTACCCTTTGAAGGCCCAAAGAAATCCACTGTTCAATCTTGAAATAACAGAGTCATCAAACTCAACTAGAATGCATGCAAATATTTTAAAGTGGTAATTTTGACATACTGTTGCCATTATTTATCCCCATTCCTATGGTAACGGCACAACATAATACCTCCCATGAAAGCAGACGTAATAAACATCCAAATGAAGTACCACTAGTGGGGGAATGTGTGCATAAAGGATACATTTCGTCTACCAATTTAGTGGCAGCTAACTCTTGCCTCCAACCAGCTGGCATGCTCTTGCTAAGAAGAGTATGGCACCCAGCCAGATTACACTCCTTTACACCTTTTACATATTAAGGCACACTATCAAGATCCTTGCCTCCTTCAAATTGTTCCTTGGAATTTCCTACGTCCAAAAGGCTTATTAACTCCTGTCTCTCCCAATCCCCGTGCAATGACAGGGAACATGAGAGAGAAAAATTAAACAAGACACAGGGAGCTAAGTACTAAGCATCCCACTCTGACATCTCATTTCTCATCTACTCGCTGTCCACCTAAACCTTATCTACCCCCAAATAATTTGCATGTAATCAATCAGTGTACAAACTGATTTAGCTAAATCCTTTCCATGGACACTCTGGGTGTATCTACACAGCAGGGCTAAAGTCGAATTAGCTGAAGTTGCAAAGGTTATGTCAACTGCATAGTTTAAATTGAAATAGCTTAATTCAGCTTTTGGTGCAGTCTACAAAGCAGGAAGTTGAAGGAAGAACACTTTTCCTTCAACTTCCTTACTTCCTCGTGAAATGAGGGTTACCATGTTATTTCGGAATAACTAGCATTATTATATAACGCTGCTGTGTAGATATAGCCTTTTACATTAGCGAAATCAATTCTAATCACAGTTGTTACTTTAACAGTTTTCTAGACACTTACGTAGCCCAAAATTGACTAACAGGCTTTTAGAATCACAGCTAGTACTGAATTACTACTTTTTAAAATTAGAAGTTAGAATGTGAGAAGACTTCACTATTATCCTCATTAGTATAGTGAAGTGTTCAAATAACTTAGGCACAGCATACAATAACTTCATTAAATTTTGGAGGGAACATGTCTAAGACATTATGGCACTATCACAACTATCCAAAATTCTTGGGTTGCATACTTCTCTCTGCTATTCACTGCAATGGCAATAGAAAGACTACAAGGAGGCAAAATGAAAAGCACCTGCTCTTCTGTATACTTTTCTGTAATTAGTGAGAACAGAAGGTTCACTACTCCAGTTCTATAGGATTTGGTCTTCATGTCAAACTCTCTAACATAACCAGTTGATTTCCACATGGAAGTCTGCTTGGTAGTCATTACTGGTACATCACCTTCACCAGGTAAATTAGGCAGAAACCCTACTGGTTTTCTGGAATTCATACCCAGCATGATAATCATGTGACTCTACTACAGTCAATCTTTTAACAAATTAAGATAAATTAAAAGGCTAAGCACTTACTTCATTTTTAACTTTAGTTGGTGGCATGCATATAGCTCCAACCTTCTGAGCTTCTTCAAAAAGGTTATCAACAAAAAATTCACAGCTTTGCTCAGTACCATTAAGATTCTGGTCATCAGTTCCTTTCTTACACACCCTACAAAATAAAGAGAGGTCATTAAAGGAGACATGTTAAAGGACACAAGAAACTCAGTACCAAAAGATCTTTTCCTCCTCATATCCCATGTATTTTGTAATGTTAGAAAAAACTGCAGCTATAGCAGCCTTGTGGACTATTTTAAAACACTTTGCTGCATTATTCTTTTCATAAAAAGGCTCAGCCTATATCAGATTCACATACCGTTCTTCTGACGTGCAAAGAGAGTATAAAGGGAATTAAAATTATCCACAATGAAGCTTCTAAATTTGGAATCTAACTCTATGAGAGGGTGTTTTCTCATCCTGTTACTATAGCAAGTCAGACAACTTGCACGTCAGAGTCAACTCTACCACTAATGAAAGCATTTGCAGTTGTCTAATGAGAGCTTTCATTGAGCCACTTTTTCAAAAATAGAAGAAAAATTCTTCGGAGATAAAATTTAAAAGTCTCTTATAAAGCAAAGATTTTTCTATATCAGTTATTCCCATATTTAGTTTTCTGGTTATTGTCCCTTCACCCCCCACATTAGGGATGTGAATGTTTAACCGGTAAGCACCACCTTTAATGGGTGAGGCTTACCAGTTAATATTAACCAGGGGGTGGGGGTTGAAGCAACACTGCGCCTGCTGCTGGCAGGGAACTGCTCCCCACCACATACAGGGACTGGGGGGGGGGGGGGGAGAAAGAGGGAAATGCTCCAGTCTAGCTCACTCTCCCCCTTTAAATAGGTTAAACAATATGTTTAACTGGTTAACCAATTAAATGGGATTTTAGATCACTACCTAAAACTTTTGTGACACTTCTGATTTTTAGTATTGCAATTTATAAACCTAAGAAAAGCTGGCTCCCAGTCCTATTCTAGCCTATTGGAAATATACAACAGAAGGCTTTGATACTATGGAGATGAGCATGGTGTGAAAGCCTACAAAAACATTTTACTATCAAGTACAAATTTCCACCTACCATGCTTATGTACAGTGTAAAAGAACACAGACGTCTCTTTACTATGTTACCTTTTCATTGACTATCATGTTGATAATTCATTTGAATGACCTTTTTATTTGAGTTCTCAATAATCAAATGCTTCATGATCCTTCTGCAAAAAGCATTACTGAAAATCTCAGGCAAGTTTATTTTGCTTACTTCCATATTTCCATAAGTGCTATTTCAAACAACTTCATATAATCCCAACTCTCAGGAAAAGTGTCCTTACTTGTGTAAAATAAAAACTGAATTTCACATTACAATGAATGTTCATGAAAAATATATTGTTCATCTGAAAGGCTCAGTACCATAAATTAGATCTGTTTGTATTAACAAAAATCTTCATTGCAGCATTTGTATGGTATGACCAATATTAGCATAAACATCTTGTTCGATCCAAAGTCAACATTTTTAAACAAAGTAAATCAATCAAGAAAGTTGTAATAATTCAAGCTCCCTCTTCTCCATTTTCACATCATCATCAGTTCTCAAACTGTGGGTCAGGACTAGGGATGTCAACATGCAGTCGACTATATGATTAACCAATAAGCCTAGGCTATCGGTTAATCTTGTTGACAACACACATTTATCTCTACATGCAAAGAGGGGGGGAAGCAGGAGCCGGTGCTGACAGTAACCAGCTTAAGTGCCGGTTTCCCCCAGCACCGTCTCCCTTCAGCGCTGGCTCCACAGTGCTCCCTGTCCCCTCCCACCTCTGATACAGGCAGTAGTGTGGAGATTGTTGGGGACGGGGGGGAGGGGTTTGAGCTCCACATTGAGCAGCTTGTGTCTGTAGAGAGCTCCCCTCACGCACCAGCTCTCCCTGCCACTCTGCACAGCTGCCTCTGATACAGGAGACTATCAAAATATTTGTATTGTGTTTAAAATTTTTGTAAGCTGCCTCAAATATTTTAGAGAGAGAGGCGGGGTAAAAATATTTAAATAAATTAAGTAATTAATTAAAATACTTGTATAACTGCTAAGATTTCATGCAATTACACAACTATTCAATTACCTGATATCTAACAGCCCCAATCAGGACTCCAAAGTGGATCAACATCCTATTTTATCTGGGTCACCAGAGCTGGCTTTTGACTTGCTGGAGCCAAAGCAAAACCCGACAAACCAAAGCTCAAGGGCTTCAGCCTTAGCAGGCAGGGCTCAGGATTCAGCTCTGGGCATTGGGGCTCAGGATTCAGGCCCCTCGCTTCCGCAGGGCTGAATCCTTTGGGTTTTGCCCTATCTCCCAGGGAATCAGGGCTTGAACAGGCTCAGGCTTCATGTACTAATTTTTCTTGTCAGAAGGGGGCTGCGGTGCTACAAAGTTTGAGAACTCCCACACTACATCATTACAAACAATTGTCCCTCTTCTCCCTCCCCCCCCAAAAAAGATCCGATGACCTATAAGCATTTGTTAAGGCATTTACAGTATTTTTTCCATGGGCTTTAACTGGCATAAAAAATATACATTTTTACATATAAAGTAAAGGCTTCCAATGGGTCATGGGTCGAAATAGAAAGACACACAGATTTATGTAGGTATAAATGTTTGTGCAGCCACTTGGAAAGGTTCCACCCCTAGAATTTGTGACTGCAGTTATATGAGAGGTGCTCTGAAAAAGTAATTTCCCTCTTGTAATAAAAAAAAAAAACCCTAAATGTACATGGAGCGGACTGACAACATGAGCACAGATCTTCAATACAGTCTTTTTGTTTTTAATTGCAAGTGTTCCTCGGAGCTTTATAATAAGAACTCAATGATGTGGGATAATAGGAGCAGAAACATTTGCTTTAGCCAGCCAGTTAAGTTATGGCAGCTTTGTACTTCAAGAGGCAGTGAGAAACAATCTAACTAGAGATGTGCTGGCCTGAAAAGAAAGAGGTTCATAAAATGTCAACTGGAATTGTATTTCAACTTTCATTCCTGAAAGCAGGAGCCAAAGAAAACATGTGCATATCAAACAGTAGTCACTAAATCAATAACATTTTTGATAAAAGCTACAGAAGGTTAGCTTTATTATTAGTTAATAATTAACAGCATGTTGAATTAATAAAGAGACGGTACAAGACAGGCAGAACCATACAAAGAAAAAATAAGCACCTACCATTCTTCTTTTAAAGTTTCAATTTTGTCTACATCTTTCATGCTGCTGCTTCCCCTAATTACGAAAAGAAAATTTTTAAGAAACAGGGAAAATTCTTAACACCCTTTTGAAGGCTATAAATTGTATAAAGTTTCTCTATGTTTAAGAGAGATTCTGTGTCAATTCTTCACTTGGAAGATTTCATGTTCCTAAGTCACTAGATGGTTCTTTGTTTGGCTGGGACTTCTAATTTGGTCATGATCACACCAAGCATCTTTCAGCTTCAAACAGCAGAAGGAGGAATGTTGGATTATTACATTTTCTCGGTGCACCAAAAAAAAGCCATGAGAAACACTGAACTGATGCAAAAATATTCTCTCATTCTTATGCCAGTTTAGAAAACAAGTCACCCTCATTTTCACAGATTTAGTTGTAACTCATCCCAGGTTTTGGCAGCAGTACCCATCAGATGATAGCAGAAGATCATAATGTCACGGCAGGCATCCTCTGTAACAGTTTATTGCTAACAATGACCTTCAATTTAATAGTGTGCATAAGGAAAAGATGCAGTGTACTTCAACTTCCTCCCTTAGGGCTTCCCCATTTTCTAATAAATTGGTGCAGTGTCCTAGAAATTGTCTATGTCAAGTCACAATTCCTGTTCTACATGCAGCAAGAGACTAAAACCTGGATTTTCAAACACTAAACATACAACAGGATTAGTGTGCTGAGTAAACAAGACTGAAAAGCACCATATTGATCTTGTGCTATATTCTGGTGTCTCTACAAAGAGATATTAAACCACAAACACAAAATAAAAACACTGAAGACCTGACAAGCCAATAGTAGAAAGATTCCTAGTGAGGTTGAAATCATGTTTAAGGGCCCAGTCCTGCAAAGTGCTGGGCATCGCCTATGCTGAAAGAGCTCACCATCTTGTAGGATCAAGCTCTAAATCACCACACTGCACAGGTATTAGAATAGAATACAGGAAACAAACCACTTCTGAAATAATCAGACAGAAGAGTTAAGATCAGTGTTCCTCCCCTAACATACAGTTCACTTACTTTTGGAGCTTACCAGATAATGAAAGAATTAAAAAAAAAATCTTGGCAAAAATACATAAGTCTATTTAGTTAACCAAGCAGATACCTATGCTAAATCAGGATATTCATTTTCTCATCTTTACATTTGAAACCCCTATAAACATTTGATTTTTGTTTAGCAAAAATGCAAACACCCTCAAAAGTACCAAACAATCTATACTGCTGTAATAAATTTCTAAATGCATTTATTCTTTTCTTTAACTGGTTATATTATGCAGTATTTATTGCATCAGCCAAAACACTGCATTTATGTTCTTTTAATAAATGTATAATGTTAAATGTCTTCCCTCGTTTTACAGTTCTGTAATAGCACATTATATAAGCAAAGCCATGTTACTGTATACAGTTTTGTTTCTGTAGTGCTCTACTGAAATTTTTGCATGTTTTAAATATTTGCATTATTAAAAAAAAAGTAAATTTACTTCTCCACATATCAAGTCTGAAACCCAAGTAATTTGACAGTAATGAAAAACTGAAGTCAAGATGTAATCAGAATTGTTATAGAACATGTGATAGAAGCAAGTCATCAAGACTAAGTTTCTACTATGCTAATGAGGCCTTGCACAAATAGAATACTGTATGCAAACTTATCCAGCTGTGAAAGACAACCTTGGATTTATACAAAAGGATAATTTGGACTTAAATTATATTAGCTATATTCATTTTATATTGGTATTTAGTGTGAGAACTCAAATTCTTTAACAGTAGGCAAAACTAGTGACTTTCACTTTAACAAACATTGTGACGAGGGAGTCGACAGTACAATGGAGCTAGCATTTAAGTTTGTTTTAATACTCATGGGGGAATTCCCTTTCCCCCCCCCCCCCCCCAAAAAATCAATGCAGCAGAACTTTTCAGCAGAATGCAAGTTTAACATCTTTCTCCCACCAGAAGGCCAAAGAGAGGGCAGCTGGCTGATAGGGAGGAGAGGCTACTTATCTCAGTGCCCTGCCCGTGGAGCCAGATAAACGCGGGCACATAGAGCTGCACAGGCTGGGGATCAAAAGAATAGTGGAGGAAAATACAGGCTAAGACAGGGGCATAGGAGCTAGTGGGTGAGAGCATTGAGCCAAGGGCTGAATGGGAACAGGGGTGCAGGGCCACATGCGGGAAAGGAAGGAGGAGTGGCTGAAGGGGTGTTGCAGGGCCACATGGGGACAGGGAAAAGAGGTGATGAAAAGTCACATAGGGATTGGGGAGGAGGATGGAGGAAGATGAATAGGAGGGGAGGGGGAAGATGAATAGGACCATATGGGGATGGACAGATGTGCCTGACTGAATGGAGAGGCTAAGGATCAGCTACGGTCTGCATGGAGCAGTGTCCCAACAGCCCTCCCTCCAAATCCCCCAAAAAAGTATTCCATATTTCTCTCACTCTAACTCAGCCACCATCCAGGTTCACTCCCAGGCTCCTTCCCAGCAATTACTTCGGTCACCCCTGACTCCCACAAACCTATGCTCTGATTATGAGGTGTGGGAAATATGTTTCGCTGTTGTACAGTAAACTTCCGATAATCCGGCACCTTTAGGACCCAGGGGGTGCCGAATTATCAGATATGCCAGACTATCCAAAGGGATGGGGTGAGGGGATGCCACCCCAGACCCGTCATAACCCCCCCTTCCGATAGTCCGGCTCTGCCCCAGGCGTCCCTGATTCAGCTGCTGGTCAGTTTTAGCAGCGGCTGAATCGGGGAAGCTGGGGGCAGAGCAGCTCCAATGGTCTGGCTGCCCGGAGCACTTCCGGGTTCCTGATGGTGCCAGACCATCAGGAGTACCGGACCATCAGATGCCACACCATCGGAGTTTTACTGTAGTTTAAATGAATTATTACTCAGTTCCTAAAAAGGTAAGTAAATCCTTATATTTCTTAATTTCTGTCGTTTAGTGTAAGGGATCCTCTAAAGTCATTTTAGAAGATCTTTCTTGTAGAAAAGCCTGCACTCCAATACTTTTTACCTAGCTCACTTCACATTGACACTCCTTAAACAATTTCCACTCCTCCCTGTTCTATGACTCCCTTTGACTTAACCTTCCTACACCTTCCTTGGCTGGTTTATCTACCTTTATGAATAGTGCCTCCCCACGCCCGCTGCTCCCCTGCTAGCAACAGGCTGCCTCCTCCCCTGAGCAACAGGCTGCCGAACAGACAAAAGCAGCCTCCCTGCCCCTCCT